ATCCAAAGACGTATATGCAATGTAATTGGCCCTGATCTGGCGTCTCGTCTGCAGCCGCTCTCTCACAGACGTGCCGTCGCCTCCCTCTGTCTTTTTTACAAATACTTTCACGGTAACTGCTCCGATGAGCTGCTTTCGCTGGTTCCTAGACTTCATGAATTTAAGCGTTCTACTAGGCTGGCATCTCACTCTCACCCTTTCACTGTCGAAAGTGTTAAATGAAGTCGTCTCTTCTACTCCAATAGCTTCATGTCTCGCACTTCTCGACTGTGGAACTTCCTCCCTTTTTCCTGTTTTCCTGATAGCTATAATCTCCAACTATTCAAATGTAATGTCAATCGACGTCTCCAGATGCCCGGATCTATTCGCTAACCGTCTCTTCATCCTTTCCTCTATCAATCCTATTTGTTCTCGCTCCAACTCTCTGTAACCCCTTGCGTGCTAGTAGCTTCCCGCCTTGTTTGGAGTTGAATGCTTAAAAAAATACTTTCAATAAGCTGGAGTATCTAAAGAATTTAAACGCAATTTTTCACTACACCATATATAGCAAGACAAGCTAAAAAAATCTAAATAAACAAGGAATATTAACACTATTAACGTATAAAAATACATTTTTTTAGTAAAAAGACCAGCGACCCGTTTTTATATAAAAAGAATTACCAACAATAGATATTCATAGTAAAACTACCAGTCATACATTTTATAGTAAAATTAACAACAATACCTATCTTTAGTAAAATTAACAAAACATTTTAAAGCAAAATGACCAATAATACATTTTATCATATTTATAGTACAATTACCAACATTACATATTTATAGAAAAATAATAATACATTTTATCTGTAGATGAAGGCATACAATTACGTTCAAAATATATTTTGTTGAAGCCATAAAATTGTCTTTAAAATTAAGATTTCAGCTTTAAAGAAGAGGTTGATATGCCGCTACACAAAACCAACCAACCAACCAACCACTATGCCGGAAATAATGGTCAGGTACACCTTCTCCCTTAGCCCATCAGTAGGTTTAGTGGTCAGGTCGTTGGAACGGGACTCGGTTGTTAAGTAAGGAGTAGTTGTAGTCGTTTTGGTTGTTTTTGTTTAGCGGCATATCAACATATCTATGGGTTATTTAATGCTGAAAATCTAAATATTTTGTACGGAATTTTTAACTTCTGTAGATAATAATGTTTTTTTTAGTGATACAAGTTTTGCTAATTAACCCATAGCTGGAGGGTAAGCAGTGGATTCACAGCTTTCCCAAAAGTATTTGTGCGTAAGAGAATATAACGAATTCAACTGGAATTGAAACTCTGCTCTCCGATTTACAATTTTTTATCTGTTACACCACACGCGCATCCAAGCTTACAGAATCTGGTATTCCCAAGTTGTCACCCATCTAAATACTGATCAGACTCGACGTTGCTGAAATTCGCTCTGTTTCAATATGACGTGGCCGTAAGCCAGGAGTGATTATATGTAATCTCTCTGGGAATTTGAACATATGAAACACGGAATTCCTTTGATGTCGAGTCAAACGAATCTAAACCAAGTAAACATCTATTTAGTCTCGTGGTTTTTAGGTAACTGATAGTAAATTCGATATCTTTCTAATATCAATAAAATATTAATGTAAATTTAAACGCTTATAAGAACCCATTGACTATCTTGTCCTCTTACTACCAATTGCTACCTTTGGCAAAAAATTAAAAAAAATAATAAACAAACTGCTTTTTTAAGACTCGAACCTACGTATGTCATCTTCATAACGAGAACGCGTGCTTTATTTAATTGAATTAGGGTGTCTAGGTTGGTTCAATATTGCTGATTAGCGAACGACTCGCAGTTCGTGACTGACGAACATCGAATCAAATTGAGCTGGCGTTTCTTAGTCACTGAACCCAGACAATAAGAGCAGCTCAAGTGAACAGCCAGTGTCACCGCAGTGAAACGTGCAAGTGACTTTGGCACGCTCAAATAAAACTCAAGAGAGGCTGCCGATGGATTAGCGCCAAATAGTCAACAATAGGCAAAGATTACTTGACCCTAACGTCTTTTATTTACTGCAGTAGACGGAAAAAGTGGAAATCTACTTCCTGTCAGAGAATGAATCTTGATTTAGTGGTTAGAAGCGCAAATTGGCCGCTCACAACTACAAGAGTCATTCTTCAATGCGATGTAAGAAAAAGGAAAAATGCAATTCAAAAGTCAAAGGGAAACAGGCATTCTATTCACTTGATATTAGTTTGTTCTTTTTGAACTGGAGAAAGAGAATAGATTTTAGCCATTCACCAGGCATTTAGGAAGTCTCTCCGCGGAGCAGTGGTTAGCATGATATTTTCGTAGACCATTGCTACTGTAGAAGTATCCAGTCACACTGGGTGTCCTAAAATTGTAGTCTTGTACTGCAAAGGTTAAATAAATATCAATCACTCAGATTTATGTCAATCAGTCTTTTTTTCACGATGTTCACCCCAAATGAAAACCAAAGCTGACATAAAATGAAGTCTACTTCTTTATATATTTGCCAAGTCTTTTAATATCATGGGTGATGATGGCTCTCCACTATTACCTACCCTTTGTAATTTTTCACTCTGTATCATCCTTCTTAATCCTGTTCTGCCATCAATTCACACAAACTCACTAATTAGTTGCTGTTTCCCTTGTTTTAATCATGTCACCCCAATCAAAGCAATAAAGCCACTAAGTCGCAAGCGGTTAATAAATGAGAGAAAATATAAGAAATAAGACATTATTAAGCAGAGGGAAAGAAAAAAAAAGAATTAAGAAGACAGTAAATAACGATTGGATTTTTGAAAATCAAATTTGACTGTGAAGCAAGAAACCAGAAGAGAGTTCCTTGCCTTATGTCCCCTGAGTGTTAAATACTCCAGACCTTCTTTCCTCATTATGTGTCTTAGGATTGTCAACTTACTCTTCCTGATTGTAACTACCAGTTATATTGTCAACCCAAGAATGTGTGACCTTCAGGTCGCATTTAGAGTTAGGGCGTTGGGGTCTATATTAACGAACTTAAATAAGTAGATTAAGAGAATCGAAATAAAGTACGTTTATACCATCGTTTCAGAAGTCTACGTTGCTTGTTGTTACGAAAGGTTCTCACACTTTGGTTTGGTTGTATGAATTCTGTCTGTTTATAGTTAATAGTTAGTCCTTTCTAACAAAACTTATAAATTAGTACACCCATAATGTAACATTTCTGGTTAAAAATAAAAGCCCTGCAGCAGAATGAAGGTAATAATAATAATAATAATAATAATAATAATAATAAAGCTGTAAATATATACAAAGAATAATAATAATAGCAAATTTGGTACTTTATTGACGTTGCTTGTTGAGAAAAAACAGGATAGTGAAAAGAATACAGGCATAACATAGAAAAGCAAGAGAAGATAAAATGGCCAAAAGGTAGAGATTTTGTCTATTAGAATCGGAGAATAAGGAACAGTGTCTGAGATTTTTGCCCATTAGTTGTAAGCGTTTATATTTACCAGTGGGTTTTTTATGTATTGCAGAAATCCTGTTTACTTGGCACAGCACGAACAATCAGAAAAGTACTGGCTATAAAAGGCCGTGGGGGATGTAGCTTATTATTCAATAAGCGCAAAACCAGCTAATGACATCCAATAAACTGGACCAAAAAGCAAATAATAATAATAATAATCTAAAATCTAACCTAAAATAATCAAATGCGTAGGCATAAAAATTGTATTTAGCAACAATAAACCATTCTGCATTTTCCCTATCATTTATCAATGAAGTTAGCATTAAGAATTCTTTTAAAATTTTCTCAGTCATTCAAATGAATATTTTCACCTGTGTCGTTTTGAATAAAACATTTTGGCCGGCTATTTCGCATTCTTATTCAGTTTTATACGACATTTGAGGATTTTGATCAATATTTTAAGGTAATTGCATGTATGACGACTTGTTGAATTATTCTCGTGTTTATATATCCCATAAACTCGTGCAGCAGTTAATGACTGCATCGTATTCACTACACTATAGCTACATGTGTTTTTGAATACAGGATTATCTTTCTCTTAGACTGATTGCCAAGCACAGAGAGCCCAGTCTGCTCTGCTATTTAACCCATAGCTGAGGGGAGAAGAGATAAATTCATACTTTCCCTATACCTTGTATGAAAGTGAATGCAATAAGTTTAGACTAAATATATAGGCGCATCCTGTTCAGTGGCTGAGATAGTTGCATATTTACAAGAACAGCATGGGTGATGTTTGAGACCAGATACAAACTAGAATTTCAATGTTGAGTTTTCAATGCAAGCAACCCAGATTTAACGCAAAACAATCTCTATAAAACTTAGCTACCTTGTGGCATAGAAAAAAGTGTTAGTAAGTACTTCCTCCATCTCTTTATGTCTACCTTACTCTTTATATATATATATATATATATATATATATATATATATATATATATATATATATATTGAATAAATTACAAATATTATGTCTGCTTATTTTTATTAGAATCCTTTTATATTTACGAATATTTTTTCATATATTACAATTGAATGATGCAGTTGTAATATACGGGAAAATGTTCGTGAATATGAAAGGATTATGATAAAAATAAGCAGACGTACTGTTTGTAATTTATTTAATAAATTTATTTTTATGCCTAAAAGAGAATTTGATGCCTAAATGCACACACGCACGCACACACACACACGCGCGCGCACATACACACATATATATATATATACATATATATTGAGACAGGTCTCGTTAAATAATTTAGACAGGTACTGCCTACATATTTTCGATAAGATCCTTTCATATTCCCGAATAAGCATTTGCGGTTGTTAAAAGACGAGAGGAAAACATTGTGTTGGCTCATATTGTATTTATTCCGAGTATTGTTTGAATGAAAACATGCTGCCGAAATACACGCATTTCATATATATATATATATATATATATATACGATGTAATATAAGTTTTCAGCAGATTCGTGCTTACACCACCTGGAATTCTCAAGCGGTCACCCATCTTGGTACTGAACAGGTTCGACATTGCTTAACTTCTGTGATCGCACGAGAAACGCTGTTTTAACGTTATGTGACCGTAAGCCAACACCACCCGCATATCCAAGCTTACAGCACCTGGTATTCCTAAGCAGTCACTCATCTAGGTAATGATCACTCTCGACATTGCTTAACTCCGGTGGTTGTACGGAAACCAGTGTTTTAACGTGGTGAGTCCGTAAGCCTTAAGCAATGCAGTATTAATTTCTGAAAATGAAGAAATTCAGTCGCAAATTAATAATAATACTTTGTCTCGAAATTCGAATGAATTAAAACTAAAACCTTAGAATCTGTCATCAGCCATTGAGAGGAAGTTATTTCTTTTTGTTAGATATGCTTTCTGATACTCATTAAAAGCAAAAAGCCTCCCTGATTGTAAATAAACATTGTAATACGAAGAACAAGAAGAAAGGAAGTAACAATATGACTCAGGCGTGTTCCTCGTATAACTCGTTCTGAAATCGCTATTCATTTCGAGATTCTTGACAAAATCCAAAGAAGGCTCTGCAATATAATAGATCCTGACCTGGCATCTCGACTTCAGTCACTTTCTCACCGATCTGAAGTGGCTTCCCTCTTTTGTTCGTATTTTTTAATTTAAAAAAAAAATCATATTTTCATGGCAACTGCTCTGACGAGCTGTTACCCTTGGTGTCCCAAATACATTGATATCTAGGATCCGACCTTTTTACTGTTGAAATAGCTAAATGCAACTGCCACTTCTACTCAAACAGTTTCTTTTCTCGCACTTCCCACCTGTAGAGATCACTTCCGTTTATTTGCTTCCCTGATGAATACAATCTTCAAAAGTTTAAATGCAACGTCAATCGCTATATTCTGTTTTCTTTAATCCCGTTCATCTTTTGTCCTTTCCTAAATCCTCCTTATTCTCAATATTCTCTTTCACTTTCACTCCATGTAACCCTCTGCGTACTAGTGGCATTCCCGCAGTGCTTGGCGAGAAATGATTAAAAGAAAAAAAAAGAAAAAAAAAGAAGCATCTTGCATGTAAGACAAGCTTGTTGAATACCGCACGTGTGGTCGGGAGTCTATTCGGAAGGGACATATTCCGGACTTTAATATTCAAGGAAGAATTCTTTTTAGAAAACTGCGATAAACGAACACAACACACACACACACACATACACACACGCACACACAAGACATTGAAAAAATCTGGTTAAAAATTAATAACAAACATGCTTCAGTATTTATATTATTTACATATTATGAAATGGACAAAGTCCGACAATTATTTTTAAGACATTTTTTAATGTTTATACGTTCTTTTTATAGATACAAATATTTAAGTAAATGCTGTGTTTTATAATAAACAGTATTAATAGCATTTATCGGCCTGAATGTCTGAGAAATTTTCATAGAAAATATTCGTCCTCCGACAGGAATCGAACATATATATTATTATAAATAGAGCATTTACTTAAATGTTTGTATCTATAAAAAGAACGTATAAACATTATTTACATACAATCTATTGTTGCCTTTGTTGTTGTTGTCACAACGTTTCAGTCGTTATCCTCTCATCTGGTATATTTTGCCCGGGTAACCTACAGGTGACTTTAAATTGAACCTTTTATTCCTTTTACAGGGGTAGAGAGTATTCTTGAGGAGGACAATAGTCCGGATGTAAATATGATACTTCCTCATCTTAGAAATTCAGATAAGGAAAAACATTTCATCTCAGAATTTGAGTAAATGAAAGAATTTCCCAGATGTCGCCCTGGAGAAGCATCTACTGTGCAATTCATGAAAGAATCATTGCGCTGACAATGACTCTGATCCCCGATTGCTGTCCATATGATCAATGCAAAGCTTGAAATATGTCGAAATATGTCACTAGCATTTGGGGACCCCCCCCCCAAAAAAAAAAAGAAAACAAAACAAAAGAAACAAACAATTCTTTTTTTCTGGGATGATCAACTGTGGGCTGAAAAATAAAATTGTTTTTTTCAGAATTTCCCTGACTGGTGATTGCTGTATATATATATATATATATATATATATATGTATATATATATATATATATATATATATATATATATATATGTATTTGTATTAAGACATTTTAAATGTTATTAATACTGTTTATTATAAAAAGCATTTACTTAAATATTTGTATCTATAAAAAAGAATGGATAAACATAAAAATGTCTTAATATATATATATATATATATATATATATATATATATATATATATATATAGTAAAAAGTAACAAGTCGGTTGTTGTAGAATCCAAGTGGATCCTAGTAATATAAAATATTAAAACTGATCCAAAAAGAGCTCAATGTATTCATTATTAAAGAGCAAATAATTAATACACAATGAATTCCAATACCACCCCATATGCGGAAGAAGCTTATAAATCGTCTGTCGCATGAACCCCAGCGTGGACGAAAATAGAAATTT